TTACAACACAAAGAACAATTACCCTTGAGAGGCACTGTGATGGCTTCAGCATATGTTTATAAACTGACACAGAAGTGGAGAAAGAAGGACCAAATTCAGACATATCACGTTCATGAAGTCTGATTTCACTGATGGGATGAATAATACAAGTTGGGTTAACGGTTTCTACCAAATAGATACAGTCTTGCTAAAGATATACAGTGCGTATAGGTCTTGAATAGGGACTTCGTCTTTTTGTTTGCTCTGCTTTGTTTTAGAAAACTTTGAACATATTCCACAGCTCACTATTTTCTTGTGTGTTATTTTCATGATTTCAGTAAACTACCTGCCAAAACGTAATTAAATTTTCAGCTTGAACTGCTGTTACAGCTAGAGTCAAAGTCTAGGCAGCCCTGTCTGGGGCACATCACTTTTCGGCAGTTTCAACTAAGCAAAGATGAAAATATTTGGAGGAAGAATTTCACCTGTACGGAAAATGCAGACTTTCCCCCCTGTTGTCATTATTCCTCAGCAGTACGGTGTTGAGAACTATTTGCGTAGCACTCACCTTGGTTTAGGCATTATAAGTAACCTAGAGATGATGTAAGGCACTTGTACATTACTGAAGGATGTACATAGGTTATATGCACAAACTGCACCATTTACATAAACATTTGTGGATCTGGGTGTCTTGGGATGAGAGATCCTGAGCTAGTCCTCCTTGGGTACCCAGGGACAATTGACCTGAACCATCTTCGAGGAGTTTCCTAAAGTGATACTGCTGAGGCCCGTCAGCAAGAGAAGCACTGTTTGCCTGAGGAAAGAAATTGCCCACTAACTTTTTCACTAAAAGAAGATGTTAGGATAGCAGGCAATAGGGCACCCTAGTATAACATGTGTGAGGACATAGGGAGAGGTAGGTAGAAGACTTACTTTTCTATGCTAGCCCCCATCACTAAGACCGGCCAATGATGGGAAGAAGATGCCTCTAGAAAGAAAATATAGCTGAAATGCCCCTTTGTCTAGCTTTCTTGAAGTAAAATTCAACCTAACGATATCTCAAGTACAAGTGGCTGTAAATATCATGGCACGGACATAGCACTCCACTCTCCTATGTTTTACCCAGCCAATGTTAGAACATGTGCCAGAGACCCAATGAAAAGTTATACTTTGAGACTGGTTTTTATTCATTCATTCAAAAATATTCATAGGATACTCAGAACAAGCAAGGGACTGCAGAAGTCAGAAGACTTCAACCTTGGGTTCTGTCATTGCTTTGGAGAAAGTTATACTTTCCTACCACTGGGGAGGAGAAACTGGCTCTTCTATATCCCTGTCTCAATTAATCACCCACATTTCTGAACATGTAAGGCAAGGGGCTTTGATGGAAGGGTACCGCCCTTCCTCCTTCTTGGTTCCTCTTTAGCAACTTGAAGCAGCCACCACACCCCAGGGTCGGTCACTAGACTGTGCGGATATGGGAAAGAAATTTTCACCCAGAGGAAAACTGATATCTCCTTTTCTTCCCGGGTGACAGAGAACCAGGAATTCGCAACTGCTTAGAAACTAACCGGAGAAGTAGAATATCCATTTAAGAAACGATTCTCTGAAGTGAAGTAGTTACATACTTACATGTATGTACTGTATGTTCCAACACACATATGTTGCATACCCAAAAGGTAAGGACTGATGTGCAAGTTAAAAAACAAATACCTCCCAAAGACCAACAATAATCTGCAAAGACCAACAAGAATTTATTTTTATTTTTATTTTTAATAATTTTTCTACCATTTGTGAATGTGAGGTCATATTCACTAGTATTATGACTAACAATGTTAAACCCTAAGCAAGATATAAATTAATGTTAAAGAATTTTAGACTTAGAAGAGACTCGCTGTCACAATTCTATGAAAGAAAAGATGTTATTCAATTTCTTTTCACTTCTGAATGTCAGCTTTATAAAGGCATTTCTTTTGAAATTACAATTCACATACATACAGTTTTTCTAATATGGAAGATAAAAGCGTGAAAGTCATCTGTTCATTTTCTTCAAGGTTGAATTTTCCCCCATTCTTGAGAAAGTATAGCCCTGCAATGCTCAGTGACATTTGCTGAGTTTATTTGCATAATATTCAATGTAAGTAAATACCAACTTTCTATTCTGCGAGTTTATCCTACCTTTAGAGTTGTTAAAAGGCATTCTTTATTGATTTATTATAAGGTTAGAAAATGCAAGAAATTTTTATTCCTCCTAAATGAACTATGATATTAGGAAACTGTTTCTTTTAGAAAGGAGTTATAAAACATAATATTTATAAAAAGTTGTACACACTATAGATAAAATCAGCTAAGTATAAATGATGACTATTTAGCTCTACTTCAGATAGATCTTGCTTTAGCCAAACCTTAGGAGGATAGGATGTATGAAAATTCTGACATGCAATACTGGAAAGATAAACTAGATGTGATTATTTGCTTTATAGAATTATTCATAATAGTTCATCTATTAAAAAAGTGATTTCCCCTGGGGCTTTTAAGATGCACTTGATTTATACACAACTTTTAGGAACATACCTACCATGCAGCAGTACATCTTTATTTTAATATATTTATCTTTTGTTTAAAAATGGGATGTAAAAATACATTCTCCAGCAACCCTAAGTTCAGTGTAAGCCTTCCAGAGAGGGCCATGGGAATGGCCATTGCCGCATAGTCTGTGAATCCTCTGAATAGCAGAAATTGAGATCTGTGCCTGTGACTGCAGCTAAAAACCCCCAGGGAGGGCTTCACTCCATGAAGGAGCCTACTCTCAGACACACCTGTGACTTCATGAGAACTGGACTCAAATTCTGTTCCAAAACGGCGTTGTCCATGCCTCTGGCTTTAGCAGTCTGCTGCAAGGGATAACATTGGTCTTGGTGAGTCTTGCATTCCTTGAATCCCCACGTACAGAGAAGGTAGCTCTAAAGCCCTCTTTGTGCCCCTGTTCTGGACACACACACATCCTTTCCAGCAGGAGGAGGCCAAACAAGCTGACCAAGCCCCCTCTTAAATTTAGGCTCACTCCTGACACATAGACGTCAGATATGAGCAGAAGAAATTTGCCTTGGTATCTCAGCAACTGCTCATTTCTCAACAGTGGGGACCATCATGGTAAGTCTGAACACTGTAGTGAAGATGGCCTCATTCTTACTTCTTATAATCTAATAATTATTTAACAAAACATAACAATTTAATCCCAAATCATTGTATTTTTAAGAGACGGTTTGCTGTTGAGTAAGACATCATTGATTCTCATTGATAAGTAACAATTGGTATGGACCAGCATTAATGAATCTGCAGTCAATACTTTTTAAAAAGTCCAATGCATTATATATGAATAATTTTTCATCTGAAGCTATGTAGCAAAGGGACTGCTACAGGACCTCAGAGTAATGAGACTAATCAATTTGTCCGGTGTTCAGAATTATAGCCGTGGCAGCCTTCTCTGACCAGCTTTTCCTGATTCCACACTTAATAGGTTTGGAACAGTATATTAGTTAACTAGAAAGCCTTATAATTGTATTTCCTTCTTTATTTATCCCGATAAGATCCATGTTTATCCAGCTATTGAATCTTCTGATAGGTCTACTCTTTAAAACTACAAGTTTTAGCCAGGTGTATTGGTGCACACCTGTAATCCCAGTGCCCAAGAGAAAGGGTGTGGAGGCAGGAGGATCACGAGTTCGAGGCCCACCTGGGTTACCTAGTGAGTTCAACACCAGCCTGAACTACAGAGAGAGACCCTGTCCAAAGAAAAATGCAAATTTTAAATAAATTCTCTGACCCCTAATTACTTACAGAGACAACCGAACTGACCCTTCACTTATTCATTGTCTAGGTCTTATACAGAAAACAAGGCCGTTGTTCAAGGCTGGAGAGGAAAAGACAGAGAAAGGAAGAAAAAGAAGCCAGGGAAGACGATGAGGGTGGAAAGGGCATTGTATGTAGTCATTCACAGGGTGGTGGAGATTCACCTAGTGCCCGCCACCCTCCTCCGATTTGCACATAGTTTGTCCCCCAAAGCCTAAGGTGTTGGAATTTAGTCCCTGCTGTAAGGTATGGAAACTTAATCTGACTATGGTGTTTAGAAATGGGACACTTGGAAAGCAACTAGAATTAGATAATGTCATCAGGGTGGAGCCCCCATGATTGAATCCTGAGCCTCCTTGCACTGTTAGGAAGAGGAAGAGCAGGCAGACACACATGCACACCCTGTCTCTTCCCACGCAATGCTTTGACCACCTTGGGAGTCTGTCAGCAAGGCCATCACAGTCTTCGACCTTCCACCAATAGTCCTGTAAACTGGTAACAACCTCTTTTATTTATAAAATTAACCTGATCAAAGTATTTCAATATAATAGTGAAAGGCTGACACATTCCATCTCCACACCATCAAAAGCAAAGACATTTGGACAAAGAAAGTTTGAATCAGGGTTAGGGATATAGCTCAGTGACACAGCACCTGCTTGGCAAATGTGAGGTTGTGAGTTCGATTCCTAGTACAGAAAAAAAGATGAAAGAAGGAAAGAAGGAAAGAAGGAAAGAAGGAAAGAAAGAAGGAAAGAAAGAAAGAAAGAAAGAAAGAAAGAAAGAAAGAAAGAAAGAAAGAAAGAAAGAAAGAAAGAAAGAAAGCTTGAACCAGACTCTCCTGGTCTTCAATTACACTGATCTGCAAATATAAAGAATCTACTTTCTGATTTCTTTCTTCAGGGGCTTCAGAATACTAAAAGGTTTCATCAGCATGAGAAATTCTGATCAGATACCACAAGCTGTCCATTGTACATTAATCTGATGATAGCAGTAGTCCCAAATACTTTTAGCTTAAATTTATTAAACTAACAAACCAGAAACAACAGCAAAGCACCCTCTGTATTCAGATTATCATTTCAATAAAAGAACCTGTAGCAAAGATCTGGTAAAGGAAGAACCCTAGGATAGCTTGATTATTCTCAAGAACTACAGTACGGCCAGCCTCTTCTCTAGGGTATGGCCTGAGCTCCCTCAGCTTCTTCTGTGTATCTCTTGCTGCTTAAATGAGTTTCCATGAGGGGTGTGTATCCTCTGCGGAGCCTTCTGTACTGCAGGAAAATCAGCAGCACAAAAAGACCAACCAAGGCCGCAAGTGTTCCCATCACCACCGAGAGTATTGTGGTCCAACTTGGAGTTTCTTCAGCTGAAACTGAAGCAGAAAAGAAGGATTGTAACAGCTGAATACACTTATAAAAGGAAAGAATAAACTTACTTGCTTTTCACATCCACTTTTGTTGATAAAGCAAAACTGCCTTGCTAGGATACAATTTATTTTCTCTTTCCTCACCAACTATTTATCATATCCACAATCATTTTGGCCAGGAAGTTGGAAATGGCATCTCATTATTTAAATAGAGCTTATTGCATTTTAAACATTTGCTATAATAAGTGCTTATATGCAGAATAAATCCACCAAGGAAGTATACAGCTACTTTTTAAGTCAGAAATTCATTTGTAAAAGTGTATGCTAAAATGGTATCTGGAGAACTGCTAAATTCGCAACCCTTGGGTAGAAACTCTGATATTCTCCTTTTTATAGGTGATAAGTGGATGAGGAAAATCAGAATGGCTCTTGTAACAGATGTTCAATAGCAGAAGCAGATCTATCTGTACTCATTTAAATAGTTTTCATGGTGGTGCGAGAAGCTGAAAGAGTAAATAAGGTCTAAAATGTACAACAGATAATGTGAAACAGGAAGAAACTGTTCAAATGGAAAAAGGAACTAGGATAGGAGAAAGGGGGAAGGGAAGCCAGGGAAAAGGGAAAAGTGCAAGTCATACTATTAGTGCCTCAGTGCATAGAAAAGGAAGGTTTGCACTTATATCGATTGGAGAATTTTTTATGCCCATACCTTCTATTCTGAGTAACTACTTTAAAGATAATAATATGCCGTATATTAACTATTATTATTCTCCTACCATCTTGTTATGGGGTTTTTTTTTTTTACCTTTTTACCAGAAAATTTAAAAATCAGTTTTGATGAACTCTCAATGATCCATTTGATAAATCACATATACTTTATAAACTCTCTTCCACCAAATTAGTGGGTTGCATTTTAAATATGCTTATGCCTCCTTGTAATTTCTTTTAAAAATATCTTTGCTTTGGCAAATTATTTTTAAAATTTGCACCTTCTGAGTTGGCTTCTGGATCTATACCCTACATGCATGCAAGTATGGTATTATCTTTCCAATCCTTCTCCTTCAACCCCACTGAGGGCCATGGCCCATCCCAACCAGATTCCTCCAAGAAGATTTTAATGCAACTCCTCCTGGTACAAAACAACAGCCCTGGGGCTGGGGAGATAGCTCAGTGGTGTGAGCACCAGCCTGGAAAGCACAAGGTCCTGAGTTTGATTCTTCTGTACCAAAAAGAAAAAGAAAAAAAAAAAAAGGCCCCTGTTGCTAGCTCCCTCTTCTTAAAATACATTTTTAGTCTCCCATTTTTTTGGTGAAGGCACCAAAAATAATTGCTTTTTAACACTGTACAAATCCTCTGCCTATTTTTAATTTGTTTTTTCAAGTTGTGGTAACATATACATAACATAAAAGTCACCATCTTAACCACTTCTTAGACAGTTCAGTAGCATTCACATTACGGTATGACCACCACTTCCATCCATCCACAGAACATCTCATGTTGAAAAACTGAAATATTTTGTCATTTAAATGATTAGTCCTCACCCTCCCCTCCCCAAGCCTCTGGTAACAGCCTTCTGCTCCACAAATTTGACTATTTTATTTTCTCATATAACTAGAATGATACAATATTTGTCCCATTATGTCTCATTTTAGTTTGTTTGTCTTGTTTTTTTGAGAGAGGGTTTCACTATGCAGCACAGGCTGGCCTCAAACTCAGAATGATCCTTCTGCCTCAGCCTCCCCAGTGCTGGGATTACAGATGTGCGCCACCACTCCTGGTGTGTCTAGCTCATTTCACTTGGCTTAATGTCCTCAGGGTTTATCTTTTTTGTTTATCTTTTCCTTCCTTTGTAAGACCAAATTATATATATATTTATA